CCTGCTTGCCTTGATTCCGGGTGGGGCTACTTACTTTACAGTCTTGGACCTTAAAGATGCCTTCTTTTGCCTACGAATTGCTACAGAAAGCCAGTGTATCTTTGCATTCCAATGGGAAGATGCTGTAACGGGCTCGAAACGTCAGATGACCTGGACAAGATTGCCCCAAGGGTTTAAAAATTCACCTACCCTATTTGGATCAGCATTAAGTCAGGACTTATTAGATTTCAAGTCCATCCCAGGAGAATGTGTACTACTACAATACGTGGATGATTTGTTGATAGCGGCAGTTACTAAAGAGATATGCCAGCAAGCAACTTATGATTTACTGCACATTCTTTGGAAGGCAGGATACAAGGTGTCCAGGAAGAAAGCTCAGTTGTGTCAGCCAACTGTCAAGTATCTGGGATTCCATATCTCTGAAGGTCAAAGGATAATGGGGCCTGAAAGAAAAGAGGCTGTATGCCAAATACCAACATCTAAGAATAGAAGACAAGTGCGAGAATTCTTAGGGGCAGCAGGCTTCTGTAGGATATGGATTCCCAGTTATGCGATACTGGCAAAACCCCTCTATGCCGCTATTAAAGGCATGGAACATGATTCCTTCCTGTGGACCATCGAACAGCAGAAGGCATTTGAGGATGTTAAGAAGGCATTGATGAGCGCCCCCGCATTAGGTCTACCTGATCATACACGTCCATTCTACTTATATGTACACAAGCAAAGAAGGATGGCTGTGGGAGTACTGACACAGTATCTGGGATCATGGCAACGACCTGTTGCGTATATGTCCAAACAACTGGATGCAGTAGCCAGTGGTCTTCCTCCTTGTCTAAGGGCCGTAGCTGCCGCCGCCCTGTTGGTAGCAGAAGCTGACAAGCTCACTCTGGGTCAGGAACTCTATGTGCGAGTCCCGCATGCAGTACAGACGTTGCTAGACTATAAAGGTAATCATTGGTTTAGCAATAGCCGCATGACTAAGTATCAAGCCATGTTATGCGAGAACCCGAGAGTGCATCTTGAGACTGTTAATACCTTGAACCCAGCTACCCTCCTGCCGCAACCTACTGAGAGTCGACATGATTGCCTGGAGGTAATGGATGAAGTGTTCTCAAGTAGACCGGACCTTCATGATTTTCCCATCCAGAACCCCGATGTTCAGTATTACACGGACGGCAGTAGTTACGTGAAAGAAGGGATTCGCTATGCCGGATATGCAGTGACAACTATAGACAAGGTGATAGAAGCGCGGCCATTGTCAAAAGGAACATCAGCACAGAATCGCACTTACACGGGCTTTGCAATTGGCTGAAGGGTTGAAAGTAAATATCTACACAGACTCAAAGTACGGGTTTTTAACCACACATGCCCATGGAGCTTTGTATAAAGAAAGAGGATTACTGACCTCCGAAGGAAAAGAAATCAAGTACCCAGCTGAGATATTACAACTATTGGAAGCTGTATGGGAGCCGAAGAAAGTTGGTATCATACATTGTCGAGCACATTTGAAAGGTGATGGTGATGTGGTGAAAGGAAATCGGATGGCAGATCCGCTGAATACGGACAAAAAGAATATGTGGAGTGTGTAGCAGCTCTTATACCGACCCCTCTGTCCCAG